GACTAGTTGGCTTACCAGAAATGTCTCATCTACGACGTCAATATTACCAGAACGGATGCGTTTGAAACCAACGCTTTGCTATTGCATTTGATACTGTATTGGGTCCATAAACAACACAACATTTTTCGGCCACCTGCTCCGCTTTTACCCTCGGTCGTAGTGGTACAGAAGAATTATCAAATTTTCTCTTTTTACCTCCATTTTGGAACGCTCTAACACATAACTGGATTCACTAAACACAAAACTGTCAAGTAACTTTTTTAAAGCGTTATGTCGCCTTTAAGTCGCAGTAAAGAATGACAAGATGCAACTTACTACATCGTGAGATATGGCTCATAAAGCTCAAAAACTTTTTACTTCACCTATTATTTTCTTCACTTAGTACAAATCAATGTTTTCTGAAAATTGCATACAATTTTCAATTGAGTAAAATACAACTAAATTCTACACTATGTGTTTTTCCTTTATACAGTCAAGTCTCTTTTTGTGCAGTTTATTTTGAGTATATATTTATAAAATCTTAAAAATCAATGCAGTTAACTAAGAAGAATGAAATAGAGAGCATTATCTCATAAATAAACCCTATTAATTTATCTACAAAAGTTTCAATGTTTTCTTTCTTAATTTGACATGAATTAAATGATTGCAAACATACATAGAATGATGCACCTGTAGAAAGGAGACAATTTGTTAAAGTAAATCCAAAAAAAAAAAAACATTTACATCAAACTTTTAAAATTCTTTTTTTTTATTATAAATAATTTAGTTATTCTAGCTATAAATTTCTGTAATTATAATATATATCAGAAATTCAATGTTTATTTATTAATCTTCATATGTAAAAAAAACAAAAAAGATTCTAATACAATTTTTTGTATTGAATGTATTCCGTTTAAAACCAGTTTTATTTTTTTAATATCAAACAGTTCAAAAGAATTTCTGTGCGAATTCACATTGGAGAATTTAAATATTTTTGCTGCAGTTTCACGAAGGTTCCAGAATCTTACCAGCTGTTGTGTCATCTACCGCGTAACTTCTTTACATAACTGAGTAAGTACAGAACTGTATAAGAAATATTTTCTATTAAGTAAATTAATTACAAAAGTGCAAATAATATATGTATACATACCATTTGCAAATGATTAACTTTCATAACCATATGTTTCATATGTTATTGATTCAGTAGTAGAATTAGGCTTACTAACATAATTATAAAAGTTCAGTAACAAATTTGTTTTGCATTGTATGTTTCTAATTAAATTTAGTATAAATATAATGGAATTACAGATTAATGCAAGTTAGTTTTCCTGAGTAACACAACAAGTTAGTCAAAACCTCAATTATTATACAATAATTATAATTTTTAATATGATTTCGTTGAAAATGATTATAAATTATGTTATATTCAATTATAACTTAAATAATCAAATCATTCAGTCATATATATATATATATATATTCCTTGTTTACAAGTGGCGAGAGAATAATTCTAAATATGGAACAACTTAAGTGCTCACATTCATATTACCACATGTATCTAAAATGTTATTATTTTTTTTGTGCCTTAACATTTACTTACATTTCAATTACACACATATTTGTTTTCTATCTTTTTTTGAATAACAAAACGTGAAATTACTACTTTTCCCCTTAAAAATTAATGAAATAACATGTATTTCTTTTAATTTCTTTTATTAATTGTAATTATTTGAATATTTGCACGTACAATTATTAATTTCAATTAGTAATGAGTAATTAAAGTGATTCTTCGCAATTTGTTTTTTTTTTGGTTTTGTAGAAATAAAGTAAACTATTATTATGTAATTTGCAAATATCAATAACAGAAAATACGATCAAACGTAAATAAATCCAATTGTTCGAATGAAACCTTTCAAAATCGTTAGTTTTTGTTAAATATAGACAAAATTAAAAATGTTAAAATTATGCATAGTTTAAATATAACAATTATTTCTTTGCTTACATTGAAATTACAAATACATATGCTTATTAATTATAATTATTTGAAGATCTGCACGTGAAAATTATTAATTTCAATTAATAATAAGTAATTAAATTGACTCTTCGTATTTTGGTTTTGTACCAATAAAGTAAACTTTTATTATGTAAGTTGCAAATATCAATAACAGAAAATACGTTCAAACGTAAATAAATTCAATTATTCGAATGAAACCTTTCAAAATCATTAGTTTTTGTTAAATATAGACCAAATCCTAAATGATTATTTGCTTATATTGAAATTATAGATACATATGCTTCTAAATAATAATAATAATAATAATTTATTGGCCAAAAATTAATACATAAGGAAAAACAAAAAGTACATTCTTTACATATAAATAAATTCTAACATAAAAAAAATTTAAATAAAAAATATAAATATATATCAATAGTATATGCTTCTATTATTTATAACTATTTGAATATTTGAACGCAAAAATTAAAAATTTCAATTAAAAATGAGTACAAGATTTTGCTAATATACTAGACTAATGGAATAACTAAATACATACAAAAATGTAAATAAAAAAATATAAATATTATAATTATGTACAGTTTAAAAATAATAAGTATTTTACTCTTGATATTAGTAAACATTTCGAAAAAACTTTCTAAAGAGTTTAATTTTTTTATTACTCATATTGCAATTTCAATAAATTTGACTTAAAAAATAACATTTAATTGACATCGAGGCATGTCAATAATAATTTAAATATTACGTAAATTTTGAAGAAGTAATTATAAATTGACGTTAATAAATCCAATAAACCCAACGAAACCTTTCATTTACACTAACGCTATTAGAATGGCTGAATTTAATCCACTTTGTTCGCATGTTTCGCACTGAATATGCACAGGTTGCGCATACGTATATTTTTCATAATCTTCGGATGACCTACATGTTCATATTATTGTTACGGAAACATTCAATTTTTCGCGCGAAGCCAAACCGATTGCAAATGCGAATTCAACCTTGATACCGCTAAATCTGGAATTGCGATGCGTTGATCCTGAGATAATAAATTTCTTCACTCGCCACGGGAACTGAGCTACATATAGAAATAAACTTTGGGATTAATGGAAAAGATGACTAATTTATTTAGGAAGAGAATTTCTTTGAGGATCGCTTAGTTGTAAAAATTCAAACGTTCAAAGGAGAATCTTCTTTTTTTTTCTTCAAGGCTGCATTCGTCTTTTTTTGGAACCACATTAAATAAAGAGCATTATACTCTCAAACGCAAAAAAAAACAAGGAACCTACTCAATTTTTATAATTGTTAAGTCTGTAAATAATTACAGTGGCACCTCGCTTAATGAGCACCTCGCATAACGAGAAAAATGAATTGTATGATTAATGACTCGCATAACGAGTGACGATAATATTTATATTTGTGTACACATATTATGTGTATTTTTGAATATGTTTCACATACGAGTAAAAATCCGGACATTTTGAAATGGATTAAATTCGTTAACCGAGGTTCCACAGTATTTTAAATTTTAATTTATAAAATACAAATGAAAATCTTTTGTTTATACAAATTTTACTTATTACATAATATGTTATATCAGCGTTTCTCAACCGTCGCGTTAAATTTTGATTGGGTCGCATAATGACAACTGTCACAATGTGTCAAATCGAGAAACTGGTGAAAACCTGTTATCAGTTGGATTATATCATAACTAGAAACAAATATGTTGGGTTGTTTTGCAAAAATGCTGAAAAACGCTGAATCTAAGTAATCGTTTTGATTTTCCATTTTTTTGAACATAAATTGAAAGTTTATTGCTTTGAAATAGTGGTAATGCTACACTTGCGAAAACACTGAATTAACGAAAAAAACTAAATAAGATGCGTCAAACTGCTTTTAAGTTTATTTGTTGCGGGTGTTCACTTTAAAAAGTCTGTGTAAAAAGTTCGAACAATCCTTTATAATCCATCGTGCTTTATGTTCAAATGCATTTTCAGCAAGATGTTTATCGTTTTCTTCTTCCTGTTTTAGTCCCCAATTAAAAACCTTATCTTTCTTAATTTCATCATAAAAAATGACATTACTGGAATTAAACTGGAATGAAACTAATTTATTCTAAAAAATGTAGAATTTTTTAGGTTTTTTTTGTTATCTCATATATTCTATTATAAACGTATATTTTTGTTGCTCTTTTTGTACATTTATAGTGTATTTCTTATTAATAGCATCAGTTTCTATCATTCAAACTGTCTTCAATATATTGAACTATACCTCAGTATATTGAAAATTTATATGTAATTCACAAGATACGTTAAAAGATCAATACTTATACAAAAGTATTGGTTCAGCGAATATTCCGCACGATTTGAATCTAAGTACTTTAAAGCCGCCCATGAAAAGACTTAACTGTATAGTGTACTAATTATTTAGAATTTTCTCAATTAAATTTTAGTTTGTTTTTCAAACTGATCAAAGCCAACTATGAGAGTTATTGCTGTACTTTGATCTTTCTTAAACTGAAAAAATAATTACCAACACTGCTTCAAAAATGCATGAAAAATAGTTGAAATCGAACATAAAATCAACAAGATTCGATGTTCGAGGTTCCAGTGTAATTGTTTCAAGGTTTGCATAAAAATATCGAGATGATCGATGAATATGTATCGAAAATATTTCGTTTACGAAATTGGTTTATAAAATCACGTGAGGCTGTAAAGTAGGAAGTTGCTGATTGAAATGAAATAAATTTTCAATTTTGTTCGGTTGCAAAAGTGTGCGCGAGTGCGCACTGTGCAAAGGGGGTAGCACAGCTGAGAAAATATTGATTCGACGAAAACGGGGAAAATCACAACAAACGTGCCCTAAATTCCGCGAGTCCAAAAAATCCGCGCGAGGTGAACAAGCCCCAAAATGCAGTGAATGCACCGAGACATGCACGAAATTATGTTTGTGAATCTGTAGAAATAAGAAGCGAAATCGGGACGAAAACATAATCGACAAGAATAGAACGGGGAACAAGTCGTAATTTATGGTGAAAACAGTCGGAACGGTAGCGAAACAGTGCGGGCCGCAGCCGCCTCCGCAACCGCCGCCGCTGTTGTACAATTCAGAACCGGAAACACTGATCCAGAGATCGTCGGTCATCTCGTCGAGATGTCGTGTAAATTGTCTATAAACAATAGCATCAAACTTAACAGTGATTCCCAGCAGTGGGTGAAAGCTTCGAGCATCGACTCTAACGTCAAACTGGCAGGAGAGGAGGCCAAAGACAGGCTGTACGAGCCTAAGCACAAGAAGAAGCTCGTGCGCGTCCTCACCGTCGTCGCTTACGTCTTCTTCGTATCGCTAGCTGCAATCATGCTCTCCCTTTACTACGTTTTTCTATGGAGCGGCAATCAAAAAGACACCATCAAAGACACCTCTAGACCAATACAGCAAACCCATAACATGTGCAATAATGGAGGTATTTTTAGCGCTCATTTCGCAAACCAAAAACACATCTAATACCAAAAGCATGCACATGAATCTAATGCATTATTGTTTCTTTGCAGAAAACGTGCTTCTGGACGTCCCTTACGAACCCACTGCTATACCAGTACTCGAGGCAACGACCCCTTCACCGATAGCAACCACCGACATTTCCTCGGAATGGTCCTCCGACTACAAAGCTCCGAATTTCACCGATTCCCTCATCATGAGAAACCCGCTAATCAAAAAGCTGATCTTAAAGAATGGACTCGATTAGAAGCTTTGAACGTGATTTTTGTTAATTTTTTATCATACACGATACAAAAATAGATTAAAGTAATGAATGTGTCCTGAAAGTACATTCTTACACCAGAAAAAATGCATCGAGATGCATTCAACTATTATTCAATTCGTTGATTTCTTGAGGAAAATTTATGAAACCGTGATTATCATGGATAAAATATACAAAAAAAAATGAAGGCGAAGAAAAAAGAACGACTATATCCAAATATTCATTTCATACATCCATAACATAGAAAACATTAGTGTGGACACTTGTATTTGTACGTCGAAAAAAAAAAGCTTTATTATGGATTTGATACATATTTTATAAAATTAATTTAATGATGAAAAAAGAAGATATATAAATAATGATAAAACAAAAAATGATAGAGCTTAACGAAAGTATAAAAGAATACGTAATCAAAATAAAGCAACAAAACAAACGTGTAACATTTTATCGTTTACCTAGAGCACTAAATTTAAAGAGGATTTTTAGGGAACATTAGGTGTGTTATTTGGTTTCTTCCCTTATGAATTTGTACTCATCATCTAGGAAATGTTAAATACTATGTTTTTTGCCTTATTCGTTGCATTCTTAGGACCTGATTTAAACGCATCGTAATCTTCCAAATATTTATGTTTAAATTAATTATAAATATATATTATATGATATGATATTTACGTTTCCAATTACGTAGAACTTTTATGAACTGTTGACTATTTAGACAATTGTATTTTATTTTTTAGTTGAAGACTGTAAAATTGTTCCTTATTAAATAATATACAGACAATTATGTTTTATTTATTTACCTCATTGCATTTTAATATAAGACTAAATTTAAATTCAAAGAAGAATAATGAATATAGTAAAAAAAAAACGATCCTTAATTTCATATGTGCTAAACATATTAAACGAAAGGATATAATGGGGTAGCAAATGTTCAAAAACATGATTAAATTTTATGATTTTCAAACTCAGGATACAAAAAAAATAGATCACGTTTTTTTCATTGTCATTTTAAAAAATCAAATTTATATCAAAATGATTTTTATAAACCATAATGCAGATTATTTCTCAGTCCAAAACTAAGGCTTTATAAAACAGAAACTTTCATCCCATAGGTATGATTATCATATAATAGTGCAGACAACTTTGGATAAAAATATCAATGATTTTTATAATTCAACATTTAAGTAAAACTCTATAACTTATTTTTTTTTTCTTACTGAATATTGGAAAACAAAAATGTAAATGGGAAGAAATTGAACATGTATCAATTGTAAAAATTAATAATTCCAGTCATTTCACAATTCAAGTAAATTTCTATTTAATTTTATTTTAGGTTTGCAATGTATGGAGTTTGGAGAATACATATTTTTCAAAATTTATTAAAAATAATGTACACTGTACAAATACATTTATATATAACTTAGAAAAAATTAATCGTACATCATCCATCTGTGAGAAGCATGTGAACGTTTTTATCCGAAGAAATCATTTTCATCGCTCTCTCCGTTCCCACAACAGAAGCTAACTGGAGCGCATCGTACTTAGAATATATAACACTAACCGTCATATCTGCAGTACTTCCAGCTTTCTTGTACTGATTCGCTTCCTAAATAATGAAAATTTACATGTTAATATTATCGAAACTTCATAATTTAAGCTACAATAATTTACCTGCATCAAATTGACCATCTCATAATAAAAATGAGGATTATTCGGTGGCTGGTAGAAAACCAAATGTCTGATACCCTTTATTTTGTTTCTATTGAAGAAGTGATATCTCTCCGTGTAAAGCATGAAATGTTTATCGGCGTGGAAGAAGATATCTCTCGCTCTGGCAACTTTTCCTTCCTGAAAACTTAATCAATTAGAACAAATTTCTTCGATTTTTGCAAATGCATTTTACCTTAGAGTATTCACAAATTTGTACAAAACTAAGATCTTCCTTTTTGAAGTAATTCCTCAACCTGACGTAATCGAAATAATTCGAAACGTAAATTAGCGTTTGTTTCATCATTGGATCCCTTTGCTGCGTCAATATGTTTTTAACGAAAAAGTTAAATCTGGCGTCGATGGAATCCATTGCGCTATTCGTATTGAACTTGTGAAAAACGTGCGGTAATTGCAGAAATACCTTACGTATACATCCATACTCGATTGGGTTTTGCGAACGAACTTTACCAGCATAATTATAACATTTCTTGTTAAATATCGAATTGATTTCGGGTAATAGAGTCGATGAAAATATGCAAGTTTGTCTATAATACTTCGACCATCCATTTAAACACCACGTCCTGACGCGTGAAAAATCGGTACCGTGTGAATCTTTCGGTTGCAAATGCAGATGATCCATGATGTGCAGTAAATGATCCCAATTCTGCATGAGAAATACTTCTGCTTGATCTATGACCAGAAATTCAATGGAAGCCAGGAAATCGTAATCCCTATCCTTTTCACCTTCTGCACCAAGGATATACCTCAAACCTAATGGTGATGCTACGATAATATCGGAACTATAAAAATTCGAATATAGCTTTATACTGTTTTTGTTGATAGTTATTCCCATTTTAAAATCGTCGCTAACGTTTCCATTGAATAACAGTTCGTAATCTTCCGGTTTCGGTCGAGTTTTAGGCATAAACAACTCGTTTCCCGTGTAATCGGATTCAAACTTCTTCCTATTTATAATATGACCTTTCTCATTGGGCACAAATAAATCAACCAACGTATTAATTATTTTCAATGCCGATGATTTAAAGGGGGCGATGATTAGTACCTAATAAAACGAAAATTAGATAAACCTTTATTATTATTTCCAAATATTTACCTTAGGTCTGATTAAACCTTGATCCCTGAATATTTCAGGAACTTCCTTCCTTGGTTCCAATTTAGCATTATGCGATAAGATTTTCCTTCTTGTTTTCAACACATGATTCATAGCATGCAAACAGTAAGTAAATCTAATTTCCTCCTCATTGGAGAAAGTTCTCTCTGTATATAACAAATCCTGATAATTATTTAACACTGAAAATAGCTCAGCTTGGAAAGGTGTCAATGGCAAAGGTTCCTCTTTAGCTCTTGAACTCAATGATTTGTTGCCAGTAGACACATGTTTAGCAATTTGAGGCTTAATAAATAAATCAGCTAAATTTGTCTTACTGACATGGATACGTTCAGGTGGTTTAACTATTGGGGCAAACTTCTGATCTTCTGCCAATGATATTAAATTTAAGGTGTTCTTATCATTATCAGTTTTTGGTATTTGAACAGCCAATTTTCTCAAATGCGGCCAATGCAATTCAGACTTATCCATTAGCACTGGTGTAGTCTGCACAGTTTCCAGTAGATTTTCAGTAATATCATAAGCAATGTGTTTGTTAAAAGGATCATCATTTGCATTGATTTCATTTTCTTCAATATCATCTGCATCCAACTTCTCTTCTTCCACATTCTCATCTTCCTTTTCTTCTACTGCTGTCTCTGCCTTATACAAATCCTTAACATCTTCATCATTATCTAATAACTCATCATCATCTTCTTCTTCTTCAACAGCACTATCATCACTTCCAGCAATACTATCATCATTGTCATCATTATTGCCATCATCACTATCAAGCTTTGTTTCTTCTAAAATAAAATAAAAATATTATATAAAGCAGTGTTAGTTTAATAATGTTAAATTACCTTCTTCCACTTCCTCATCATCACTGGAATCTATGGCTTTCATTTTATTGTCAATATTAGAAAAAGTAGACCTCAACAAGTCCAAATCATTGATTTCCTCCTCCTCACTCTCTGATGATAATTCTGGTGGTAACTGTTTAGGTTCAGTTTTTGGTCGTTTATCAATTTCATTATTTGAATTGTGTTCAAACTTGCGTTTCCTACTTCCCTTATCGTTATCCTTGTTGTTACCATATAAACTATATGTTTTACGGGGCTTAGCCTTAAAATTTCCTTTCTTCTTGTTTGCCCTTCCTTTGTTGCCTTTACCAGGTTTAAATTTTCCTCTAGGACCCATTTATAACACTTATAGAAACACAAGTTTGCTTAGATACTATCAAATGGATAAAACTTTAAAAACTTTTATACACTAATCCCAGAAATCAACCAAATACATGTGCTTATGTTATGATGTCAAAATTTTTGATTTGAACATAATATTCAAGAAACAGCGTTACCAACATTTAGTTTCATTGCTTAACATATTTGAATTATATAATTTCTATAGTTTCAATTATATTAATATTAAGAAATTTGTAATATATTCAACAATGTTATTAAAAATGTATATTTTTACTAATGCCATTATTGATTTATATTATAGGCAACCAAATATACGTACAAAAATTAAAAGTTTAAATTCAAATTACAAATTGTTATTTTTTTGCTACTTTTTATGGTATTCCACAGCAATAAACATCCATATTAAAATATATTATTAATATAATCATTTACATACATCTACATACATATATTATTGATAAATAATTCACTGAAAACTGAAATTCTTTTTACTTGTAAATTTAAAAAGTTTTTACATTTATATAAAAATATATCTAAAATGTGATTGGATATGTAATTGTATCACGTTTGCAACATCTTTGGACTACGACAATTCAGTAATAACTTCCAAATCGTTATGAAAAGTATTGTAGTCCAGCGATCGTAGGTCTGACTGTGAGGGCAATCTTACCACTGCTCCCCAATTAATCGGCAATGTCAGGTCCGATTCTGCAAATTGATACTCTGTGAACACCGATGCAATATCTTCGGTATCGTGAGACTCTGTCATAAGACTGGTGTCGGGATTGGACCAAACTTGCAAATTTAACCCGTATGTTTTAGGTTCACATTCATTTGTAGAATTACTGGGCTGCGATGGATTGTCTTCAACTGAGACTTCTAACTGAAGCATTGTTAGCGTATTTTTTAATAAAACCCACCGACCAAGAATGCGTTTATTTCTTTTATTAATCAATTTGAGTTTAGTTAAATTAAGGACATCTTCTCGTAGCTGTTTATCACAAGCATCAGGACACGTTGTATTTTCTTCGCAGGATCTTCCACATTCGTTCTCTGTTCCGAAATCTAAATAACTATCGTCTTCTATTTGTAAATCCTGACAATCTTCTAATAATACTTCAGTTATTTCTTTCAAATTATAGTTCCCTGAGTTTAATTGTATACCCATAACTATATCCAACCTTTGAACTTTCCTCAACGCAACATGCAATTAACAACGAAACACTTACTTTTGTTTCACCCAACAAAATTGTTACACTGGACTAGTCAACATATATCAGGTTAGGTTTTAAATATTAGTTGAAAAAAATATATAAATAAATGTTAAACTATATGGAATATTATACAAAAAAAATATAATCAAATTGGTGTGCATTACTGAATAAGAATTTATGTTCAAAATGCTTACTATAACGTTTCTTCATGACTTCTACGTTTGTACTTAAAACTTTCCTAAAGTTTCAAATAAGTTCATGAGTATAATGTGTTGCATACATATTTAACTGAAAGATATACAATTTTCCAATATAATTCGGAGATTCTCAATATCTTCAGAATAGAAAAACTGTTATGTTATGAGAAACAAATATTTTAATATTAAGATTAAGAAAATGGTAATATTAAATTTAACACCATAAATATATTTATACAATGTTTAATGATATTCTTGTATTTGATGACCATGATGACCAAGAAATATAAAATAGAGGTAAATAAAAGAAATATAGATAATATGCATATATACGGATTTATTTTTCTTTTAACACTAACATATTACATGATATCACATTTTACTTGCACACAATGAGTGTTGTACGTAATTACTTGTTTCATCTTTTTTTCATTTTCAAAAACATCTCCTGCTCCATCCACAATCATATTGACCTCACCTCGATGTGCGACCGAGTATACAAGTACATATTTTTCGCCCATTTCGAAAACAAAAAAAAATACAACAACAAAAGAAAAATTATATTAAATGTGTGTAAAGAAATGTCGAAATCGTCGAAAACAAAACATCAGAAACCTAAAATTAGATGATCCGATTTTGCGTCAAGAATCGCAAGCCATTATTTATATTAGCATTCTCATCAATTAATTATATTATCATTTACCTAAATAATCCGGAACAAGTTCACTTGAAACCTCTCGTTGTCTCACGATGCAAATAATATATATTTTTCTGTTTTACGCTTCTTTTTTTTTGTACTTTTCGCGCTTGCGATCGGTTTGACACAAAATCGGAATCACATCATCCATTAATTAAATCCACAAATTTGTATTCACCCATCAACGAACAAAGAAATACCTCTCTTCATTATTGCAATCTTATCAAAATATTTTCAAAATTTCTCTCATCCCCTGTGCATCATTATATCATATATATCATTTTCATTTGTTTAGAATAAAACACAGCTTCCATTCCATTATTCAGTATATAAACTGTATATAATAATATTGATTGCCTTATGTTGTTGTTGTTTTTTTTATTACTTCATTTGCTTGCGCTTCGTCGAGAATTTCATAAATTTTTACTATTCGAATTAATAAAATTGCAATTCCAACAAATCATGTACCACAACAATTTGTTCTTATCTCTTTATTAATTATTTATAGATTCATTTAAAATTTCGTCTATAACAGTATATTTTGTGCCCTTGTATTTATTTCTCGTTATTTTATTTTTTAACCTTTTTTTTTCAATATTTTATTATTTAGATAAATACTATTTAAATTATAGCCATTCATATTTTAAAATTATCAAACAATCCATGTGTACTGTCTGTGTTCTTTATATATTTTCTTTCATATTCATTTTTTTTAATAGCACCTGTAAAAAATATATCATTTTCAATAACAGAGAGATATATAGAAAAGAAAACAAACATAAATAAATAACGGATATAAACTAAAAGAAAATATTACATATTCCTTTTCAGTTTTTCTCCAGCATTTCTATCTTCGTTTATTTTTTCTTCTTTCAATCGATTTCATTTCAAAGTAAAATTCAATTAAAATAAAAACTGTCTGTGATGAATTGATTTAAATTTGCAAATAAAATTCGATGCGTCAATTTTTAATTGGATCCTACCTGGGATCCAATTGAAAAGCGACAGAAACATTCGTAGGAACGGAGAAAAAATATGTAATATTGCATTTGTATTTGAAATAAATATTTAATATAAAATTTGTCATGGCAAGAAATTTGTGTACGTACAAACAAAATAAAAATATATAACTGTGTAGACATTATATAGTATTAGCCATTTATTATTTATTTATCAGATTTTCGAATTAAAAAAAAGAAGTTTTTTTTTGTTATTTGTTCAAATTGTATAATTTTTGGGACGGTTTTTGAACAAGTATCATTTTATTATTTATTTAAGTTTGAATAATACTGGCTCAGTATACTTCTTTTTTTAAATAATTAATTAATATCTTCATTCTTTTAAATAAAAACGGCCAATGTTGGACTAGATGATGAGGTTGGTCCCCGTCACTGCAGAAAGAGCCAATCAAAATAATGTTTTTTTCCAATGTTGTTATTGTTGTTGTTGATACTTTGAAGTAAGATTAAATATTTAGTTGGTAACTTGCAAGAAATAGTGAACAGTGCGATCTCCGTTGCAAACCGCAAGTAATTGAAATGTTTTAAAAACAAATTTTGTTAGTTCTTACATACGTTTGTTAGTGTAAGAAATAGCAATTTTCATTATTTTGCGCTTTGCAAGAGAGATTGGTTTGCTTGAGAGATGTAGAGGCTGTTTCTGCTGTTACGGGGCGGCCTGCTTTGTTTTAATTTTATAAAATATTGCCAACTTGATAAAGTCACACGATTTAAAATATATATGTAACATATATATAATATATATATAATATAATATTAATTAGTTATTTACAATATTTATATAACCTATTTAGAAACTCTTATATACATTATGTACAGGTATAGTATTTTGTTTTTTTTACACATTTAATAAATTATGTACAGAGGAATGCCCAAAAAACTGTGGGTCGAGTAACACCAAATAATATCATGAGAACTCAATTTGTCTTCTTCTCTTCATCGTCTTCTTGCTTCGTTCTTCTTGTTTTGTTTGTTTTCAATTTGTTATTCAAGTTTGAGCGAAATATATTGAGCGATCGAGATCAAAGTAACTGTCAACAAGTTTTAAGTTTGTCAGGAAGTGTCGAGCCCGCACACCGTCTTAGGTGCGACGTTTGGTGGGAGACCGATCCTGTGTACCTATCGGCTAAATGTCCAATCGCTAAGGTAAAAAACTTTATAAAAATAAAAATAGTCAACAATTATCAATCAGCTGCACAATTCCTGCACTGCACTAAATAGGTTTAACTAATCACAACCTGAGCGATGGGGTGGTGGTGGTATCAGTTGGGATGGTGCTACGAACCCCCGACGAGTACATGCATGAAACCGTCCCACTCGTTCTCGGATCGGACCGTCGCACCGTTAGCGTCTTTGTTCCACTCGAACTCGCTGGTCAGGCCCAATTCCGCGTAAAGTTCATTGTTGTTCAGCGATTCGAGATCCGTCTGAGAGGTGAGACTCAGCACGGAACCCCAGTTGATGGGACGCGTCGTGTCCATGTCATCCCCAATGCCGGAGTCGGTGTCGGACGTTGTCTGCGGGAATGGCGTCGCTCTGCCAGAGCTGGAGGTCATCTCTCTCAGGCTGTGCTCGTAGCCGCTGGGCTCGGGCACGGGGTTTGGTCTGCCAGGCGGGGTGAGTTCAGGTAACGTAGGATGGTAGGTGGGTTCGGGTGGTTCGGCTTCCATCTCCCTCTCGAGCTTCCTCAGAGTGTTGCAAATCAGGACGGACCTTCGCAGCGAGGGATCGTTGCACTGCCTGTACCTTGCCAACTTGCACATGGATAGGTTGAGGACGGCCAGTCGTCGCTGCCGATAGCACGGCACGTGGCACCATCGCGTCCTTCCATCGCAGCATCTCGTCCGTACGGGAGGCGCTGCTCCCAGCTCCAGGTAGCTCTTGCCGTTCTCTTCGCATCTTATGGTCTGCTGCGGTGGTTGGTAGTACTGCCAGTAATCAGCTTGATACCGGGTCGCCGCCGACGTGGCGTACGTAGGCTGCTGGGCGAAACGCGCTGGCTCTGGCGCGCTCGAACATTTGTCATCATCGGACAAGTCATCGTCGAAGTCCTCATCATCCTCGAAGTCATCGGAGAGGAGGGTAGCCGCTAGCGAAGGCGTCGGGGATCTCCATGCGTCGCTCGGTACCGCCACCGCTTGCAAACGTGCTATGCAATCTTCCGCTTCCCATCTTCCGTTTTTCGCTGGGGACGATTCTCCTGGGGCTGTCGCTGCTTCTAACTTACGCTTTCCTGTGGTCGCTTGAAGACCCATCATGGCACAATTCTGCAACAACAAAAAAACAATACTTAATACCGAAAACATATTTACAAAAATAAAAAAATTTGACATCAAAATAAAATTATGTATAAATCTATTAAAATTATTACCACATTTAATTTATCATTAATTAATTTGAATAGATTATTCAAATCAAAACATGGATATTATTGGTTCTGTATTAATCATATTTCTTTGATTGTAAAATTCATAAAGGTAGCCAAATAAAGAATCCGAATAATCAATTTCTCCCGCCCCCGCGATGCTCATTATAATAATTACGGTTCGTCTCGTTGTGCGTGCGTGTGTTTTTCGGGGTTGCTGGGTACCTCTATCTATCCACAATTGGTGACCGGCGTGGACGAACAAAAAATAATAATAAGAGAAAGAAGGGTTCCGACGGAGAGAGTACCTGAAAATTTCATTTCGGGTCGGCTTCAGAGGGAAAGGGACGCAGGTATAAATGTAGAAGACGGTCGTCCTTTCGAGAGACACAGAGATAAAGAGTGAGCGAGAGAGAGCGATGCGCCCAGGTAGAAGAAGCAAAAGGGGCCCCCTTAAAACCTGACGAAGAATAACATTTGGTGGTTACCTTTTTCGGTCCTTTTTGGGGATCCACGCCGGCTCATCTACCTACTTTTCGGGGCATATGGACCCCCTTGTAAAAGGACGGGGCCCAAAAAAAAATTAACATCAGGTATGCGGGCGCACATTTTTGGGCATTCCTATATATCTGCAGCCCCCACACAAACATTTGCAATAAACAAATGATGGAATTTCACGATTTCCAATAGCTTTATTTAATAACTTTTAATTTTAACAAAAGATAAAATAAAAACGTCATCATTGTTATTTATTTAATCTTAATTAATTATAGAGTTTGGTGATTTCTTAAGGTACAGAATACCTGAGTACATTTGAATAGTAGTGCGATAAATATATAAAATATGGATATGCGAGATTAATGCAGCAGGAGACAGGGACTTGGTGGTAATTGCACAAGGTGTGTGTATGTGCGAGTGTGTGTATGATTGTGTTGAGCATGATAACCTTGAACGGTTTCTCAGGCAGAGTGAGCGGCCTTGTGGCCACTGCATCTAGCAGCAGGAATATAGTAGAAAGCTGCCCATTATATAAACATCTAACAGGCATAGGAGCTGTTTTGTACGCTCACTTTATTTAACGCAAAGCCTACTTAGACTTAGTTTAATGCACTGCGAGCTTTCTACGTCTGTTTGTACTTCGTACTCTGCTCCAAGCACTAATGACGTGCATAGCGGAAAAATACTTTTTCACCATTACGCTTATTATTATTATCATCATCATCAGCAGCAGCAGCAGCGTTTCCTTCATGTCGAGCTTTCATAAAATTCCCGTTCTTCCGAATGCACATAACACATACACGCATTCAAAAGCGCTCAAAGTATTAAGCGTAAATAAATACTCTCAAAGTACAACGATTTCGCTAGTTGCAAATAATACAAGCAACCAGCACTACGCACGGAACGGAACGTGAAACACGTTTAAATCACAATTCTCGTAATACCAAAAACAACAGTTGAAGAACCCTCGCAATTCCACTTAATTGTATTTTCTAATACGTAGCTCCCAAACGAAAAAAAAAACAAAAAATAATAATGTATATCAAATATTCTTCCAAATGAATTCCACCATTATGTAGAGTTCTGAACCGGAAACCGGATATGCCTAACGGCAGGGGCAACATAATTACTTGGAACATCTACGAATTTCTACGTTTTCCAATTGCCGTTTCGGCTCGTATATGTATTATATTTTACCAAAATTATCTATAGCCGGAAATGAATTTTCTACCGCACGAGAAGAAAACTGTATGCTTCGATTTAGTTTTCAGTTTTCATCTGCGCTCACGATTTTCCCATGCGATTTTTATGGCTTCGCTCCGTCCATAAAACTCGAAAAAGTATTTTCCCGCGCACGCACATGACCGAATCTAAACTCTTTTTTTCAATGCGAATAAATGTTATATTTATCCATATCAACAAAATTCGTTTGAATTACAAAACTATTCAAAGGTTAATAGATTTCTATAATATTTTTCAAATATGTTCGTACTTAAGCTATGTTTGTTACTATTTCTGTTGTTTCATAATTAATTACATTTTATATATTGTATAACTTATTTTTTATGATTCGTTCAATTTAAATATAACGGCATTTGAATTAGACGTTTATAAACTTAATTCAAGATTGTATTGCCAACCATACAATGACATGTGCGCATTCGAAATTCCCTCCGTTTTTGTTGCACGGGGGCCGGTTTTTTTTGTCCGCCGCTCCCCCTCGTATACGGATGGTATAACGTTTTCGCTTTTGTAATAATATTTCGTTGGCTCTCCCTACCGAAATGACAGGGGGCTCTTCCCCTTTTTTCCTGCGGAGCGCAACAAGAGAGGAGAGCCCCATACAGACACACGCACACGTGATCTAGGAATATGACAAATGAGAGGGGTGGGACCTGCAAGCGCGGCCGCCTCCACCGCCAACGTTATCATCTCGCGGAGTAAGGGATTTTTGCGAAATTAAAACAGGGTGGAAATGGTTATTTGGAATTTTGCCTAATATAAGAAAGCGAGCGTGGGCGGCGCACGAGAGGTGGGGGCTGTTTCCAGAGGGGAAGGTGGCGCGAACGGGGCGATACGGGATTCCCCACCGCCGTCGTAGCGGGGGCGGCTCGATGAGGAAGAGGTGCGCACGCGCGTCCGTTCGATTCCCTTCTCTCTAATATTAGCAATGAGCCACGGGGGTGGCAGAAACGAGCGCCCCCAAACCGGTGGGATCTAATTAAAAATGCAATACCTGCGGAATTCATAATGAACAAATTCGATACAAAGCAAATGGAACCCACGACAGCCGATTTTTATTTTAAATTGTCATTACTACAATTATAATACATTACTGTATTCTTCACGCATATAGCATAATAGCAAAAGCAAAATATAATTTCGGACATTCAACTGATACATTTTTATTAAAAAAATGATTGTTGTTTCTATAATTTCGATTAGTAAGTGAAATCGTGACTACACAAAGATTAGAGAAGAATCAAGCTTGAGTTGCAGTTTCTGTAGTTATCACGCGTTAGGTTCAAAATCGCGAGATTGTTTTGTTGATTATTTAAAAAAAATATAGTAGTGTGGTATGGAGTAGATATCATCAAACTTGAGATAGGTCAGGATCATAAATATGTTTATTGTTCGAGATTATGAAGTGAATGAATGTGCGAGTTTATGTGTGAGTGCGCGCATAAATAAACATAAAATTTATGTTTGTTTCGCGTAAAATATATATATATGTATCAGTCGCGTGTAGTACGACAACCGATAAGTTAGTAGTAAATACTATCGCCGATTGTGTTTCCATTATGTAATTAAATAATTCATAAATTTAATCGGTGCATCGTAGTGGCAGAAGATGGCGTGAAACCGGAGATAGGGAAGAAGAAGAAACGGAAGATGCAGCCTGAGGGAGAGAGCAGAGACGAAGGGACCAAAAAAAGTAGTACGAGTACGGGAAAATTTAATCCCCGGTGTCTAATATTTCAAGTTGCGCTTTCGCTCTCTGTCTCTCGCCCTCACCCTACTCGCTGCGTTTCGAACATTTTGGAGTTCGCTGCATGATTTACAGATATAACGTTGGCTTGGGTACCTTCCTCCCTAATAGCGCAGCAGCCCTTCGAACTGCTGCCATGCGAAGGGCTGCACCCCAGTAGGGGCTCCACTCCGGGGCCCCCTAAACACTAATCCCTATACCAGCATATAACGTGGCAGACTATTTTAGTTTTGACTCATTGCCGACGGGCTTCTCAGAATTTTTAGGGATATTTCCAGACTGCCTTCGGCGTTCTCTTTCTCTCACTCTTCGTGTCTTTCTATCACTCTCTGTCTCATCACACATCTCTTCGTCGCTCGCTTCGTCAAACAGCGCGCTTCAACCACCCCCTCAAACCCTCCTAAAATAATCATCGCGCGAATACTTTAATCATTGTAGATTCTTTTCGCAAAATTCAATGCGAACTTCAATAATTAAAATAATGAAGGGATTTTAGTTTCTACAGATGCATGAAAATTGCATTCGCCAAAAAAAAAAAACAGAAGACTTTTCAAAGTGGTAAAATAATGAGACCCTTCATACTATTGAGCTTGATAGAAAAACAAAATGAGAAATATGCAATATGTCAAAATATAATGCGAGAGATAATTAATATTTTTATCCATCCATGGTATTTGTTGCTTATAAAAGTTAAGCAACATACTCACACATGGCACTTGAATGGGGGAATTGTAGGAGTATGTAAGATTTTGGGAAAAAATAATGAAGCTCAATAGCCCTTTGCAATAATTGTTAATAGTTGAAATTATCTGTACGTGTTTATGTTGCAATAAACATAAATGTTTCGTATTATGTGAATACGAATAACAGATAAATTTAATAATGTGATGGGGGCAATCGTTAACATTTTTTTTCAAAACAGGAGTTTAACAGTTGGAATTTAAGCATTGAAACGGGGTATTCGCATTAACGGATCTCATTAGATTTAATGATGTAATCTCCGAAATCGTGTTCAACTAGTGGCTTTCATTGAAATTGTGCGCGCGTGAATGGCAAGCTCTTAATTCATGCAACGAAAAGGTTGAAAAGCACTGGATTCCTGGTGATGTGCGAGTCAAGTAGGAACTGGACTAGCACACATGAAGATGGAGATGCAAATTACTAATTTTTTCAAACTAAAAAGAAAATAAACTCCGAGAAAATAAACTATTGAGATTGATTAAAACCGCTTCGGTTTCCTTTTATTCGCTATCCATTTTTTGTTTGTTTTTATTTTATTAATTATAAATCTAGGGCTGTAAATTCTGGGATGAGAGGGAATAACAAACTTTCGGGAAAATTTTCCCCTCGCTTCGCTCAAAGCTATATTCCCCATTAATTTCCTCCAGCGAGCCGAGTGGTGGGAGCGGGAAATA